GTATGAGTCTATATGCCAATTGCCATATTAAAACATCAGCTGCAATTCAGGACATGAAGAAGGCAGTCTCTGCATAGCATACAGGCTAATGGAGATGCAGTTATTTCCAGCATTCTTTATTTAACATTAATTCAAGTATGTTATGCCTTTTATCTGCTAATGTACAGGAGGAAGAGTGATAAACTGTCTGTCTAGTTGGCTTACATAACAGTTAAAGTTTGCAGCCTAAAAAACATGGAGCATTTTTTCCCCTTTTATTCATTTTTATGTCAATTTGCACATTTCATGGTGACGCTCAGCCTCTCCCCTTAAGGCAAGGCAAGTTTATTTATATAGCACCTTTCAACACAAGGCAATTCAAGGTGCTTTACAAAAATGAAAGACATTCAGACAAAGGCATTTAAAAACAGTAAAAGATAATAAAAGAAACATTAAAAGAAAAAATACATGAATAAAAAGTAAACTTTTACTCCTAACAGTCATCATCATGTCAACCACAACACAGAGAAATACTGATAGGAATGTGTGTGTAGTTGTTGATACATTGCTGACAGAGGGAACTACATTTGAATACAGATTTAAGAAATATCAGTTTTTGAGCATGTCATAAGCATGTTTTGTCTTGACTATATTACAACTATATTATAATAAAATAATATATTTATATTATTGAATTGATTATGATTATTAGTAGAAGTAGTTTATTTGCATTAATTATATTTTAATCTTTTTGAGGCTAGTATTTGGCAGGAAATGCAGACGTATTCACCTGTAAACGCATACTGAACTACATGCACATTTACCATTTACCTCACTGTATACAAAAGTAACTGTGTTGATAATAATAATAAACAGGAATTATATTTGCAAAGTAGCCTACTTTGTTTCCAAAAACAACTGTCGGTTGGGGGGGGGGCCTCATCTCACAATGTCGCTTGGGGCCCCAAGTTGGCCAGGGGCGGCCCTGGTAGTCAGTCATAGTAATAGCAAACTTACAGTCCACCGGACCAGTCTCAAATGGGCCCACGATGTCGAGTGCAAGCTTTTGCCATGGCCCCTGAGGCAGAGGGACTGGTGTCATAGGTGCAGGGTTAGTTTTAGCTGTCTTATCATTCATCTGGCAGGACACACAGGCGGCGATAACCGATTGTACCAGTGCATCCATTTTAGGCAGGGGCGGACTGGGACTACAAATCAGCCCGGGACTCTCGACCGACTCACTTCGGTACCGCCGGCCCACCGCGGTACCACAAGTAAATACCGCTAGTAAATTGTCGACGGGGGGGGTAGACAATTTACTAGCGGTAGACATTAAGGGTATAATGTCTACCTCCGGGCCGGTGGACTTGTATTATCACTGGCCCCACCATTGTAACCACTGGCCCGGAGCATTCGTCCAAAAGAAATCGACTAATAATGAAGAAAATTAACACATTTGTTGCAATAGTCATTTATGCACTAACTACATTACTAACTACAACATTTTAATCATCAGTTCTTCCTCATTTTCCTCAATTGTTCATATTTGGTTTATTAAAATAATGATATTGTGGTCATTGTTAAACAAATTCTGCTATTATGAGTATTATTATTTGTATAATGCACTTTCTGCCTTCCTGTCGTCAGGAGTTAGAAATGTAATGGCTATGTAATTGATTTGATTAGAACCTTCATTATCCTAAACTGCTGGGACATTTCGCCAATACCTTTATAGCCTATTGTCTACTCTTCACTTACTTGTCAGCATAGGTCGGCATTGATGTACAGAGCCGACAGAAGACCTTGTTTATATTGGCATCATATTGAGAGGTGCAGCCCCTACCCTACTTTTATAATTTTCGAATCATAAATCTAATCGATAGATTATAAAAGGGTTTTAGGACGCGTCACTGCAGCCAACTCCATCGATCAAGCTGGCTGAAACTTTCTCTCCCTCTTCTTCTCATACTCCCTGTCACTCTCCTTTAACTCCTCCGGTGACTTTCTTTTATTTGAAGATTGTTTTTTGCCCGGCGCTTGGCCGGTGGCGCAATAGTCCCGCTGCGCTCCGCAGCAAACAGCTGTTTGCTTTTCAAATCAAATCAAATCAAGTTTTATTTATATAGCACATTTATAAACGATTTTTGGTCGAGCCAAAGTGCTGTAATATAATAAAAATAGCCTACAGTAGAGACACTTTACAGCAAATACAACAGCACAGATTGTTCAGAATATCAGTATGAGAAAAAACGACACCCTCTATCCTTAGACCAGGGGAGCCCAACCAGTCGATCGCGATCGACCAGTCGATCGCGAGATGTGTCTAAAAATAGAACAACAACATTCTGTTTTATCATTAATGTCCTGTAACATAATGTTCCTGTGCCAGAATAATGCACTTGAACGCATCAAAGCTTTGTGATTGGCCGGCGTGACCCCATGTGTCGGGGCGTGGCTGGTGGGCAGTGCACTATTTTCGCTGACGTTGTTGTCCGTGTCAACAGGAGTGACAGTAAAAAAGCAAAAAAGCCCAAAATATATAATTTTCACTCCGAGTGGGAGGATGATTATTTTTGTATCTATTCCAATTCAAAGTCCATCTGTCTCATCTGCAATACGAGCGTGGCCTTATCGAAGAAGGGTAATTTAGGAGCGGCATTTCAAAACAGTGCACAAACGCTACGAGACGGATTTCCCTCCTAATTCTGCCCTACGCTCCCAAAAGGGGAGGGGCCTGAAAGGACAGCTAAATGCACAGCAGTCCATTTTCACCAGGCCCAACAACAAGAGCAAGGCTGCTACCATAGCATCTTATCGTGTTAGTCACGTTCTTGCGAAACACATGAAGTCTTTCAAAGACGGCGAAGTTGTGAAAGAAGCATTCCTGGAGGCTGCCGACGCGCTTTTGGGGGACAGTAAAAATAACAGGTTTTTGATATAATAAAAACTCAAAGTTAGATACCGTTATTAATCAGCTGTAAGTTTTAGTTTGTTTGAACTTATTCATTATAATTATTGTACACAATGGTATAAGAATGCAAACATTAAGATCTGTTGTTTAAATTGATTATAGTCTATTATCAATTCAGGTTAAGAAACTAGTGTTGCTTGCATCCTATTTTAAAGGCATTTCTTTTTATAATCTACTAAAATGCAACAAAAAAAATGGTTCGATTCCATTAATGTTGTCTTTTTTATTGCACTTTGGCAGCAGATTCCTGTGTAGCTTCAGATCTGAGTTGTCTTATCAGTACGCCTAATTTATACTTTTGTAGCAACACTGTTTTTATATAATGGCAAAGAATGGGTTCAGAGCAGGGGCGGACTGGGACTAAAATTCAGCCCTGGAAACTGACCCAGTCCGGCCACATGAAATGTCAAATGTTAGAAATCCGCTGTTTATTATTTAAAGTTTCTGATTCACTCCTTTTTTCCTCTCAGTACACAGCTCCAGTTTGATCATTGGCCTGTCATCAGATTTCATTTTTAGTTGCTGCTGTAGCGGAAGTTTAGTACAATTCTTTTTGATGAAATACTCCAAATCTCCACCCTCCATAATTGCACTTGCTTCAGTTGCTTGCTACTTTTTAAGGGCAGTGATGACAGTTACAGTACGAACTGAAGTTGATGCGATTTGATTGGATTGTGAGGCATGACGTGAGCCTCATCTGATTGGTCAATCCCTCAATTTTTTTTCACCAACGGAAGCCAATTTCGGCTGGCTTCCTCTCGCAACAGAGAGTGCAATCTACTGTTTCACCATAACATCTAGAGGGGCGCTGTTTCACTCTTTGTAAAATACTCAATGAGAATGGGGGAGAGACGGGCCGACAGAATAATTACCGAAACTAAACGAAGTGTTTTCATTTATTTATTAATATTATAACTACAATGCAAAAAACAGGCCACCAGGAGAAAACGACACTGAGTTCAAGGGATAATTCTCACCCACCTCTTGCTCTTGCCCTGCACGTGTGCCGGTTGAGCTGGTTCTTCCAGCAGCTCAACTCTGTCCCTCATCATGAATGCTGGCTGTATATCTGAACTCGCGCCCACATCATTCTCTTCATCATCTTGCACTTGTTTTAAGCTGCTGATGATGATAGAGCTTGTAGCAGCGCTGCTGCCAAAAAGGTCTGTCAATTTGCGACATGTATATGCTCCACCTGCGAGTGACTTCACCTTTTTTTCTCTTGCCTTCTCGGCCCACCTTTTTCTTTTCGTTTTCTTTGATTTTTATTTTTTTAACCATGTTTTTTCATTCTCCCTGTCTGCCGCGGCGTCTAATCCCTTCTCTTCATGTGGCCGGTATTTTTTCTTCTTCGTGTGTGATTATTTGACATAAAAACCACACAACCGCATTATCGGCCGCTGTCGCCCTCTGTCGGCCGTCAGCGCAATTTAAATGATGACGTTAAACCTTTTTTTTTTTAAAGTGCCGGCCGCCAACGGCCCTTGACGACCGGCCGTTCTGTGGTTCTCCAGATTCTACAGATGGCCAGTCCGCCCCTGGTTCAGAGTATTTTCTTGTTTTATGTGTCATATGTGGCAGCACTGTTCAATGTTTCTTGAAAACATTACCCACTGTAGTTTGTGACGTGTGAATAAACTCCAACTCTGTATCAACAACACTGTTGTGTAACTTCAGTTAAATACTTGTATGTGTGTAGATTAGAAAGAGGTAAGATAAAGGATCTGCAGTATTTTATGGAGTATTAATCGTACAAAGGCCAGTTTTATACAAGTAGAAGGGTGTATTTACCTGGTAGTAGGCTGTCAGTAATGGCTACGCCTCTCTATTTGGATTGGTAGATCTCGGCAGACTGGCAACTTTAAAAGTAGCTCTCGGTTCAAAAAAGGTTGGGCACCCCTGCTGTAGCTTATGCAATTTAGGCCTATCAATTGTTTATGTAACTTATGTGCCAGTGTGTCCATGGTTTTGAGTCTGTGTGTGTTGAGCGCAGCGCCGTCTGCTTTTTGCAGTAAAGTAGGACTAAGCATACCAGTAGTTTCTGTGGACCTGTCTGCCCGTTTTGTGAGTGCGCTGCGCGCGTGCGCACTTGTGTGGCATTGTTTGGGATGACCTAATTAAAATAGCGTCCCCCCAGTAAAAAAAATCCCCACTACACCACTGGTTATACTACAACTTCAGCATTAAAAAAAAGGTGAAAATTGAAAGAGCAGAGACAGATACTTTAATGTTAAGTAAATTGTAGGGGTCAAAATCACTGGATCAAACATTTCTTATAATGGAACTCAGTACACATCATTTCTTTAGAGATTCTTTAATGTTTCCTTAGTAGTGCTCAGACCATTGACAAACAGAACTTTTTTTCGTGAAGCTATCTTTTAACCTTGAGGCAACGATTGTGTGTTTATGTGTTTTGGTCCCTCTATCTGTGCCCGTCTCTCACACTTTTGTTCCTGCATCTTCCCCTTACACTCTCCATCCTCACCTGCCCCCCAGTAATGTGTAATTAGAGCTGATAAAATCTGGTTGATAACATTGCTTTGGTTACACAGCCACTGTCACTCTACGGTTTACAGGCTACATAAAGATATTGACTCACTTAAACACAACTTATCGTACCTGGCTCTTGTTTACCCAGCATGCAACATGTTCTGGGCAGGAAAAGTCAAGGGACAGGGTGACCTTATCTTAATTTTGACTTTTCTTTTTCAATAAAGAATAGCATAATGAAACAGGATTTAAAACAATGCATTTCTTACTTGGAGTCCCCACAGGAAGGATTTGCCTTGCTTATAGTATCAACAGATGGCTTTAAGTGTATGTTTGGGTGGATATTTCTAGTAGGTAATATTAATGATTATATGTTATGAAGTATCTGCTACTGGAGCTGCAACAGTGTGCCTTTTTTAACCTCTACAAGTGTAATGGTCCTTTATAGGTTATTGATATATAGACAGCATGCTAGCTGACGCATATCTGATATAATGACCCTCAGCCTAGAACAGCTTGGTGTTGATCTTGAATGTCAGTGAACCCCTGTGTTCTTGATTTTTTTTAAAACATAAACCATTTAGGTCTTTGTGTTTTGTGGTTTTGTTGCGATTAAAAACAAAAGTAACACTAATCCAAAAGTCCCCATAAGAAAAACTCAGAAACTGACAAAGGGTACAAATGTGGGGACAGGAGTGCTTATTAAACAGTGACAGTCACTGTGTCACTCAAACTGCAGGAGGCAAAAGCAACAGTAGGAGACATGCTTGCTGACACCATTAGCTTGCCTCTGTGGTTGATGCTACCTGTTGTAGCTCTGCTGATGTGCAGGGATTGTGACTGCTGGAGGCTATTTTCTCTGTGATGTATTTTCCCTTTGAATGTAGCTATTTAGTGCGGCAGGACATGGGCAACTGTCTGGCCTGTGCAACAGGTTTCAGGCTGTGAATTGTGCATCCTGTTATAGTTTAACTTGTCTTTTTCTTTGGGTACAATCGACCACCAGGTCTTAGCTTTATGGCAGAAGAAAAGATGGCTAAGTTTCCCTGCACACGCAAAGCCAGCTATTTTCAGTTAATGCTTACTGTGTCCAGGCAATCAATCAAATGTCGACCCCCAGAATGACTCGTTGGCCAGTAGTGTGTAGTGCAGCATTTAGTTCTGGATACAGTTTAATGTCACGGAGACTGGTAGGAACGACATTGGTCTGGTTTAACCTTCACTTTTCTTCTGCTCTTTACTCCAATCAGTTTATCATGAAAAGAAACGTGCAGAAGGGAGATAAGAGATACCTGCGTAGCTTATGATACGAGTGTATTTGTGTGTATGTGTGTGTGACCTGCCTAGGGGTGACATTGTTGCTACCTGAAGTACCATATTACGCAGGTAGTCGTATTAAAATGCGTGTTTAAACATACGTGTGTGTGTGTGTGTGTGTGTGTGTGTGTGTGTGTGTGTGTGTGTGTGTGTGTGTCCACAAGTGTTGTGTGCATGTGCTTATAAAAAAGGGAGTTGTTTTGTATAAAAGGCTTTTCCAGAAAAAACCTTTCCTGGTTATGACCATAGTGTATGCGTGTGTGTGTGAGAGAGAGTGAGAGAAACGGGTGTGTGTTTGAGACTGGACCCTGACTGACAGTCAACATTTCGGGGCGCAAGAAAAAGGATCGAGTGCTCTGGACCTCCATTGATTTAGGAGAGCATTCCCATAACACACGTGCAACCATGAGTAAAAAGGTAGACAACCCTGTATATGAGTGTTCACTTTTTTTTCATTATTTGTTGGGATTTTGGGTAGACTTTAGTATTACTTTTTTATTTTATATATCTCTGTTTTTATACACTACGTAATTCATGTTTAATATATAACATTTGAATTGTACAAGGTGTTTGTTTTTATACAGGTATACTTTCAATCATTTACTATAATAATGAAAGGGAATCACTCTTGCACTCCAGTCTGTCAATTGTGTAATTATGTAAACACTTTGCAAATCATTTTCTGCCATCAGGACACTTACGACATGTTCGAGATGGATGGAGATATGGAGAAGAAGAAGAAGAAAAAAAAAGTGAATAAGAAGGAGAAAATGGAGGGCATGAAGAAAGAAATTGATATAGTAAGTAAAGAGAGAAGCCTCAAGGCTGCACAGTCATGAGAATATGCAGGGTCGGCTGCATGGCTCAGGGGGAGAGATGCTTAACCCCTCATTCCCCTCGCTGGTATAAGATAAGAGACGATAAGATGGACCTTTATTTATCCCCGTGGGGAAATTCAGGAATTAAAACAGCAACAGAGTGAGAATGAAAAACAAGACAGTAGAGATTAGTAAAAAAATTGATTTAAAAAAAAAAAAATGATATAACTGTTAAAACAAGATATCACAGCAAGGTCAGCGTTGATCAGTTGAATGAACATAGATACATATTTGGGTTCTTCTGGTTAAATATATTTACATGTAAGTGTGCAGAAGCGAGTGCAGGTGCAGTCATTTGTACAAACAGTGCAGATTGTGTAAAGTATGCAACCCGGTATCACGGTGAGACGTGAACATGTGACGCTTTACCATTGCTGGGAGATGTGAAGATGTCACGGTTTCGTCTTTTCAAAACGTGAAAAGCGTGACAGCTACACGGTATTGTTAACCCATGTTAACCAGTGGAGAAATAACCGGAAATACCAAGCAAATGCTACCCCGACGTAATGATTTATTTTGTAATAGTCACACTCGATTACAGCGATTTTCTTGTTGCCCCAGCTGGTCGACACCTCTTTTAGCATAAACAAAGGCTACATTAATGTATTAAATCGATGTTAATCCATGCGTGTGGATGTGGAATTAACGGACGTGACGTTGTGCGATTGAGTTGCCAAGCAACAGCTTCGGTTCATGTTAATTTACAAACTATTCAACTACAACCGTAGTTATATTTAAAAACATGTTAGAAGGCATCACGAAATACTTTAATGCACATTAAAATGTAAATGTGAAGGAATGTGTGTATAACAAAATACATCGGTCATTAAACGAAACCAGAAACAGACGTAGGCAAGATCCTCAGCTCGATGATTGGATGGTTATCCGCAATGCATGCTGGGATTTGGTGTTTATGTGATGTGAAATCTGAAAACGTTTTTAAAAATACAATAATACTTTATTCCGAGTGTGCTTGCTTTTCTCTTTGAAAGTCATCACATAACGGCATTGTAATACACGGTTCGGCTGCATTAAATATGACATATCTGCCGTAGTTCTCTATTTATAGAGCCCTGCTGAGAAGACTTCTAGACAAACATGAGGCACTGAAAACGTAACGTGGATCATAAATATATAAGCAATTAAACAACATCTTACATTTATTTTCACACAATACGTCTCCTTGCAGTATCAACACTAATTCGGCTGACTTTTATATTTGATCCAATTGGTAGATAGGCTGTACATAACATTTACACCATAACCGTGCAGAGCTGATAGAAAGTACTGTACTGTACCCAATATACAAGCTGTTAATACACTTTTCAATCAATCAATCAATCAATCAAAGGGACACCTGGTGGTCAAAGCACGTTATTGAATTGTATTATACTTATTATTATACATACTTTTTTAGCATATTGTTTATTTTATTCTAACTTAGTACTTTTTTAACGCATGTAAGATATGCAACACTAAGCTGTCTGTGGCTCTTTCCTGCTGTAACGCTGCACATTTCCCCTCTGTGGAACTAAGAAAGGTATTCTGATTCTGATTCTTTAATGGTCACACATGCAGAGCACACAGCACACACAGTGACATTTGTATCTACAGATAAATATTAAGCCTGACAAAGTACTTAACGTCTAATATATTGCTTTCCTGAAATGTTAACTATGTTTAAGCACTTATTTGTTTATTATTTGTTTATTATTAAACTGATATTATACATATGTATTATACTCTTATAAGATGTATGTAGATAGTATAAGAAATGTGCAGAATGACAGTTTAATGGTGGAGTATAAACACATATTGATAGATGTCTTGTAATGCACTGTTGAGGAACCTGCGACCCAAGTTTTTCATTCATTGCATAACTACACAGTAGTTGTGTATAATATGATATGTCAATAAACCTTAGCTTATAAAATCTTGAAATCTTGAAAGGGATGTTCAAACTAGTCATTATATACAGTCTTTAATGAACTATTAGTAGAGAATAACGAGTAATGAATATACTGTATAGAGATCCTATTAATATCTAATAATAAAATAATAAAATTCAATAACGTGCTTTGACCACTAGGTGTCCCTTTCTATCAGCTCTGCACGGTTATGGTTTAAATACAGCCTATCTACCAATTGGATCAAATATAAAAGTCAGCCGAATTAGTGTTGATACTGCAAGGAGACGCATTGTGTGAAAAGAAATGTAAGATGTTGTATAATTGCTTATATATTTATGATCAACGTCACGTATTCAGTTTTGGCGGCAGTTCTCCTGTTTGTCTAGAAGTCTTCTCAGCAGGGCTCTATAAATAGAGAACTACGGCAGATATGTCATATTTAATGCAGCCGAACCGTGTATTACAAAGCCGTTATGTGATGACTTTCAAAGAGTAAAGCAAGCATACTCGGAATAAAGTATTATTGTATTTAAAAAAAAAAAAGTTTTCAGATTTCACATCACATAAACACCAAATCCCAGCATGCATTGCGGATAACCATCCAATCATCGAGCTGAGGATCTTGCCTACGTCTGTTTCCGGTTTCGTTTAATGACCGATGTATTTTGTTATACACACATTCCTTCACATTTACATTTTAATGTGCATTAAAGTATTTCGTGAGGCCTTCTAACATGTTTTTAAATATAACTACGGTTGTAGTTGAATAGTTTGTAAATTAACATGAACCGAAGCTGTTGCTTGGCAACTCAATCGCACAACGTCACGTCCGTTAATTCCACATCCACACGCATGGATTAACATCGATTTAATACATGTATTAAATCGATGTTAATCCATAAACAAAGGCTACATTAATGTATTAATGTAGCCTTTGTTTATGCTAAAAGAGGTGTCGACCAGCTGGGGCAACAAGAAAATCGCTGTAATCGAGTGTGACTATTAAAAAATAAATCATTACGTCGGGGTAGCATTTGCTTGGTATTTCCGGTTATTTCTCCACTGGTTAACATGGGTTAACAATACCGTGTAGCTGTCACGCTTTTCACGTTTTGAAAAGACGAAACCGTGACATCTTCACGTCTCCCAGCAATGGTAAAGCGTCACATGTTCACGTCTCACCGTGATACCGTGTTGAAAGTATGGGTTACTTTTGATGGGTTACATGGTTAGCCCTTGATTGTGCAGCCTGATGGCTACAGGCACAAAGGCCTGGCCAATGGTGCGTGAATGTGTGGTCTCCCTGAGCAGGTGGCAGCCTCTATGTATGAATGTTTGTGAATTAGTGAATGTTGACTTGTATATGTAAAATCACTTAAAGTAGTTGCAAAGACTGGAAAAGCGCTTTATAACTGCAGTCCATTTACCATTTACCTTAACCTTTCTGCAATTATAACCTCCACATTACAACCAGCCAGCTATTAAACATCACATTTTTGCTCTGAATTAATGCAGCAATATGTCTCCTCCTGCAGGACGACCATGAGATTACAATTGATGAACTGGAAATGAGGTACAACACTAGCGTTACCAAGGTAAGACATTTCTTCTGAAATACTTTTTCTCTAATGTATGTCAGTTGCTATTTCATAAACTTTATCCTCCCTTATACACTTATTTTGTTTTATCTTTATATCCTACTCCATTATTTCCCCCTGTGTGGGTCCTTAGGTTCAAAGAGAATGATGTGTCCAAGCTCATTTGTTTTGTGTATTCCTAAACTAAGCATACTTGTTTTTTCTGTTTTCCATCCCCAGGGTCTGACCTCCACCTTCGCCGCTCAAGTCTTTGAGAGAGATGGTCCTAATGAATTGAAGCCTCCCAAAGGAACTCCAGAGTATGTGAAGTTTGCCAGGCAGCTGGCTGGAGGGCTGCAGTGTCTAATGTGGGTCGCAGCCTGCATCTGCTCTATCGCCTTTGGGATCGAATTTGCAAAAGGGAACGTCAACTGCTTTGACAATGTGAGTTATGTTTTTATTTTAGAGTTATTTTAGAAAAGTAATATATCTGTGGATTGCGTTGAGCAGGAGGGGGACATAGAGAAAGAGACAAAAAATAGAGTACATTGATTTGAAACAGTACTAGGCACCTGTTTTTATGGTTACATCTTCTTTCTCACCCTAGCTGTACTTGGCCGTCGTCCTCATTGCTGTCGTTGTGGTGACTGGTTGCTTTGGTTACTACCAAGAATTCAAGAGTACTAACATCATTGCCAGCTTCAAGAATCTGGTGCCACAGGTTAGTTGCACTGTAATCAACGGAAAATAATATATATGTGTTTTTATCTTTATCCTTTACTTGTTTTCATCTCTCTCACCCTGTGTCTTTTCTTCATGTGTTCATGTGCCTTCATCTTTGCTGATTTTCTCCCAATCTGAAAAATAGCAAGCCGTTGTGATCCGTGATGGTCAGAAAAACGTGATCAACGCATACCAGTTGGTGGTGGGGGATATGGTGGAGATCAAAGGAGGAGACGGAATCCCTGCTGACATTCGCATCATCACTAGTCAGGCCTGCAAGGTAGATCTCACACACATATTCTGTATAACATACATATGGACTACTGTAATATGACATGAGGCAAGCTTAGGCCCAGACGTTGTTATGTTTTTCATTATTGGGTCCACATAAAATCAGTTTTGTAAATTGTCTTGCTGTAATGACTATAGTATTTAACAGCATATGAGGCCAGCTGGAGTAACAATTTGAATACCCAGAATACAGACCAAATTACTTATTTTGAATTGTGCCATATTTGAGAAGTAGGTGTGGCCGAATCCATAATCAGACATCCTCCCTTACTACCCATTTTTTTCATGGACATGTAATGAGACTTTAATGAATTAACTCTCTGTGCCAGGTGGACAACTCATCCTTGACAGGAGAGTCTGAACCGCAAAGCAGGACTCCAGAGTGCACTCATGAGAATCCACTGGAGACCAAAAACATTGCTTTCTTCTCTACAACCTGTATGGAAGGTACAATAAACAGTGCATACTTAACATATGAAACCTTTGACTGGCATAATCTATTCAGTCATTTGTTTGTATTTGTTTGTGATCATGAGCCACTTCTTTCTCCTCTGCTCTCTAGGTATAGCCACAGGTATGATCATTAGCACAGGTGACCGTACCATCATTGGTCGGATTGCCACCTTGGCGAGCGGCGTGGGTAACGAGAAGACACCCATTGCCATAGAAATTGAACATTTTGTTGACATCATCGCCGGACTCGCAATTTTTTTTGGGTTTACCTTCTTTGTGGTTGCCATGTTCATTGGATACGCCTTCCTGGAAGCTATGATCTTCTTCATGGCTATCGTGGTGGCTTATGTGCCAGAGGGGCTACTTGCTACAGTTACTGTGAGTCGCTGCAACTAATGTCAATTTCTATAGATCTATTGTGTTTAGCGTCCATTATTTCTCTATAATATCAGATCTCGACTGAATTAATTATCCTATTGGATATTGATGGCAGCAAGAAAAACCTAGCTTTGTTTATTAGTCAATAGTATGCAAACGTATGAATATTTGTTTCTTAGTGTCTGCTGTAGTCTTTTTCTCTAACAGCCTGAGTCTTTGTCAACAGGTATGTCTGTCTCTGACTGCGAAACGACTTGCCAGGAAGAACTGCGTTGTGAAGAACTTGGAGGCTGTGGAGACATTAGGTTAGTATGTTGTTCTGTTCAGGCTCATATAGAAATGAAGGGAATGTGCTCTATATTAAGACAATCCAGCATGAATGTAGGTACATACTGTATGTAACCTTTTTTAAACTGTTTGTGTGTTTAGGCTCCACTTCAGTGATCTGTTCTGATAAGACAGGGACCCTGACTCAGAACAGGATGACTGTAGCTCACCTTTGGTTCGACAACCACGTCCACGCCGCTGACACCACTGAAGATCAGTCAGGTACACACATTCAATAAAACTTGTTATTGTTAAAAGCATTTCATTTTAAATCAACCAATGCTGTTTATTTGAGCAATTTATAATGTAGATGTCACATAGGCTATGGTTTGTTATTTCAACTACAACATGCATTTCAAATGTGGATAACCTCAGTGTGCCAAAAGGTTGTGTCAGTGAGGCTTAAAAGTTCATATTAATTAACACAATAGTCATATTTTAATAATGATGTGATTGTGTGGTTTCCAGGTAAGAGTTTTGACCAGTCTTCAGAAACATGGCGTTCACTGGCGAGAGTGGCCACCCTGTGTAACAGAGCCACATTCAGACCCGATCAGGAAGGCTTGCCTATTCCTAAGGTAAAAGTGTGAAGTTTATAATGTTGCTGTCCACATCGATGTGAGCTAAATAAACGTCAGTTAAGCTTTAGTACTCTATATTGCTGTTTGGCTTCTATTGTTTGTTTTTTGTTGAAACTTGTATGATCTCTCACAGAGGCTGGTGGTAGGAGATGCTTCAGAGACCGCTCTGCTGAAGTTTACCGAGCTCTCTGTAGGAAACGTTATGGACTACCGTGATCGCTTCAAGAAGGCAGTGGAAGTGCCCTTCAACTCCACCAACAAGTTCCAGGTGGGAGCAGGGCTTGGTGTCATCAATTACTAAACAATTAAACTAAACAAAATTACTCAACAAGAAGATTAGCCAGGAGATCATTTATTCATTTTTTAATACTACCATCTAGATTTGTCCTACTTTGATAATGTGATGATTTGTGGTGGATCTATATTTGTATTCAGCTTCTATCAACCCCCTTTCTATCCAGCTATCTATCCATGAACTGGATGATCCTCTGGACCTTCGCTACCTGTTGGTGATGAAGGGAGCACCTGAACGTATCTTAGAGCGCTGCTCCACCATTTTGATTAAAGGACAGGAGCTGCCACTGGATGAGCAGTGGAGCGAAGCCTTTCAGACCGCTTACATGGACCTGGGAGGACTGGGAGAGCGAGTCCTGGGTAAGAGAGTCCTTCATTTAACCCTAATGTAGCCTAATCATGTGGCTGGTGTTAGCAGAGTAAACGTATACCTTTTGTCTATCTGCAGCGGAAAGGTGACTATTCTCACAGTTCAAGTTTAGCCATTCATCTCGGCCATGTTTATTTGATGCACACAGGTCAAGAGACATGAGAACTGACAAAGAAGGGGCGTGACTCTAACTGTCTTATACTCCTGGTAGTGACATCACAATCATGCGCACAGCGCTACCCAATGAACACAGTAGTAGTCGCAGCTACTTACATAAACAATATGATACACAGCAATACATGGAGTCATACAATACACATATCTCTATATGTTATACCTTAACAGCTGGCCTGTGGAAAATGGTATGCCAAAACTGTCATCTACCTTTTGTTAAACATTGTATCGGGAAAAAGTAATGTCTATTTGAGGTTACACAATACACACGTAGGTTATATTTGTACCATTTATTTGAGTAGCAATACCAAATTCATTAGACTTCTTCTCCTTTGTGGAAACTGATATTAATTAAACTCGTTTTTTGTTCTGCTGTTTCTTCTTTCCACTCCTGCTGTAGGTTTTTGTCATCTCTATCTGAGTGAGAAGGAAGTTCCTCGTGGCTATCGATTTGACGCAGATGAGATGAATTTCCCCACGTCAGGATTGTGCTTCGCTGGTCTCATCTCAATGATTGACCCGCCTCGAGCCACTGTGCCTGGTGCAGTGATGAAATGTCGTACCGCTGGCATCAGGGTATGTCCAAATCGCCCCGCATACTGTACACGTAAAAAACAGCTTGTTGGTTTAGATATTTCTTTGAAATGAGACTGCTTTTTGACTTTGTGACTTCAGGTTGTGATGGTGACTGGAGACCATCCAATCACAGCAAGGGCCATAGCAGCTAACGTTGGTATCATCACAGAAGGAAGTGAAACTGTGGAAGACATTGCCCAGAGGAAGCGCATACCTGTGGAACAAGTCAACAAGAGGTATTTGCAAACTACCTACTGCCTTTCTGTCTAATGCAGTGTAATGTTTATTTTTTATTGTGTGATAACTACACATGACTACAGTGTCTGGCATCATTGTCCGACAAAGAGTCACAAGAGATGCACTGGATTGTTTGAATGCATGCCTTTGTCTATATCATATGTAACTGTGCGTCATTGTGTTGTGTGTGTGCAGGGACGCCCGTGCCTGTGTGATCAGTGGGGGTCAGCTGAAGGACATGAGCAGTGAGGAACTGGATGAAGCTCTGCGAAACCATCCTGAGATGGTGTTTGCAAGAACATCCCCTCAGCAAAAACTGATTATTGTGGAGAGTTGTCAACGACTGGTAAATACACAGAAAAAGCACACACACACCTCACCGTACTACATATACCTCAATGCAATGTATTTCATAATTAAAAAAAGATCACCAAAGCCAGTTTCCTACATACTGTATGTATAGACACTATAAAGCCAACATCTGATTTCAATATGGTCTCCTGGGAGGATTGTGTATGAGAAAGCTGCAGGGGAAGAAATTGGTTTGCATGTATTCATATCCAGCGTGTGATCAGATCACATTCTCAGATGTTTTTATCTGTTATCCCCCCAGGGCTCTATCGTCGCTGTGACAGGTGATGGTGTGAACGACTCTCCGGCTCTTAAGAAGGCTGATATTGGTGTCGCCATGGGGATCGCAGGGTCCGACGCTGCCAAGAACGCCGCAGACATGATCCTGTTGGACGACAACTTTGCCTCCATTGTCACTGGAGTGGAGCAGGGTGAGACTAAGAGGAGAAGAATCTGATTTCACCAAAATGGTGGTCAAACATGGGGGATATTCTCACACCTGTCTCTGTTGACAGATGTCTCTTTTATTTTCAATGTATCTGACCTGAACAATAGATTAAAAGTTAAAGTACTCGAAGAGATTGCCTTATAGGGCCAGCACCTAAAACTGTTGTTTACACATTTGATTACCTTGTTGGTTACTATATACAGTAAGAGTACAAGTAAAAGTATGCTATATGCTGAATAATGAGCATTTCGTAAATTCAAAGATATTGAGCTGCATTATTGAGGTGTGTTTGTGTGTGCAGGCCGTCTTATCTTTGACAACCTGAAGAAGTCCATTGCCTACACACTCACTAAGAACATTCCTGAGCTGACCCCATATCTGATCTACATCACCTGCAGCGTGCCTCTTCCTCTCGGCTGTATCACTATTCTCTTCATCGAACTCGCCACCGACATTGTGAGTAATTATGTAATTAGGACCAGTTCAGCAAGAACGCTAATTTCTTATTTATGGTTATTACTCTGGTTGTCATCTCACTGGCAATTGATTTGTATTCAAGATGATGTCTTTAGCTTGATTGCAAAAATGACCATGATTAAGTGACCTTTAAAGCATCATAAGCTTCCTTACTCTTGTATCTGCTGTAGTGTGATATATTGTTTATTTATGAACGTCCCTCCTGTAGTACCCCTCTGTCTCTCTGGCGTATGAGAAAGCAGAGAGCGACATCATGAACTTAAAGCCCAGGAACCCTCGTCGTGATCGTCTAGTAAACGAATCCCTGGCTGTGTACTCATACTTCCAGATTGGTGAGTGTGTGTTGCTCTTAATTTAGTAACTTTGAATTTAATATTTTACTTCAAACTGTCGAGGAACAGATTCCTTTTAAGTAGACATGCTATTTTGTACCCTTGAACAATAAAGAATATAATAGGTTACCTGTTACAGAGTGCACTCACAATCCTTCCGGAGGAGGCTAAGTCACTACCCCTGCCAAGTGAGCATTATTGACCCATTCTTCCATGTATTCTTTGTCTTTTGATTTATAGGAGCCATACAGTCTTTTGCAGGTTTTACAGATTATTTCGCAGCCATGGCGCAGGAGGGCTGGTATCCACTTGTGTGTATCGGCCTGCGTGCGCACTGGGAGAACATTCACTTTCAAGACATGCAGGACAGCTACGGACAGGAATGGGTTAGTAAATACACGTATTAGTTATTCTACCTACGGTTGGGCACATTTAGTCCCATATGTTAATCCAACAGAAAGTGATTGGTTTAAGGGAATATCTGAGTAACCAAATAACTCCTTCCTTTATGACCTCTGCTTCCAGACCTTCAATCAGAGGTTGTACCAGCAGTTTACGTGCTACACTGTGTTTTTCGTGAGCATAGAGATCTGTCAGATCTCTGATGTGCTGATCAGAAAAACTCGACGTCTCTCTGTGTTCACGCAAGGTTTCTTCAGGTCAGTAAAGCCCCATTCCCATAATGGCATAATGTCAAACATTTGGAAAAAATATAGCTTTAAATGTAGAGGGTTAATTCTCTGGCTGTATGGTGTTGACATAAACATCACCAAAGGTTATGCTGCATTCACACAGTTATCCTCAGAATGGAGAATAGAAGAACAACCTGACATTATTTCAACCACACAGCCTTCAGGAAATATTCAAAGATGTTCACACCTGTCACTCTTGCAGTCATTTCATTAAAACAACTAGTCAGCAACCACATACAAACAAACGGCGCAAATCTTAGATATTGATTGATAAACAGTTTATAAATGTCAGTGTAATACATTTCAGTTCTTTTAAAATTGTATAATATGCTTTGTTTGGTGTTTGATGTTTATCGTCTTTATTTGTGCAGGAACAAAGTCCTTGTCTCTGCCATAGTCTTCCAGCTCCTTCTGGGTAATCTGCTATGTTACTGCCCTGGGATGCCCAACATCTTCAATTTCATGCCAATCAGGTAAAGGCAAACACCTCGATTCAAAGCTCAGACTGAATTTAAAGGAAACGTCTGTATGTTGGGAATTCTGAGCACATGCATTTTAATTTATACATCATTAATTCAGCTTCAGTCGGTAGTGAAGCTCACCCGTTATTAATCATTTCTATATTTAATATAAAGCTCTAGCCTGTGGTCTAATGTTACATGTTGTGTTTTCTTCCCCAGAGTCCAGTGGTGGTTTGTTCCTGTTCCATATGGTATTTTAATCTTTGTCTATGATGAGATCAGGAAGTTAGGAGTCAGAAGACATCCAGGAAGTAAGCCAAGAATATCCTTCTTACTAAAAATCACCCATTTGTTATCAATCAATACCAACTTTGCCTTTATTGTATGTAATAATGTATTGTGTTGAATCCCTCAGGTTGGTGGGATCAGGAATTATACTACTGAAACCAGAGAGGCCCTTTAATTCATCCTGTGATCCATCCATTCACATGCATCAAATATCTATCCATCTATATTACTTTGTGGCATATGTATTTTTAAAAAGTCTTTATATAGACATCAAGTTAATATTTGTCTGCCTTAATTCCTTTACCAAAGTAAAAATGTAATAACTACCGATAATTTGTAAATGAATAACTCACATGTGTGTTATGTTCCAGCTCTTTGACTGTGGCTGCATTGTGTTTTTACTAATAAAAGAATATTAATGATGTCCTCAAAAAAAGTCCTTTGTTTGTTTTAGTTAATGTTTTGTCAAAAGATTGTATCGTTAGTCAGACTTTTAGTTTGCATTTGATATTTGACTGTTCATTATGGAATTCAAACTCTGTAAATGAAAGCATGTGTCGATAGTTTAGCGGCAGCCAGAGAGATCACTTTCTAACTGTGGAACAAGAGGCTGCATCTGGATGGAGGAAAGTGAGCCACCTACAGAACTGAAGGCTCATACACAAACCAACAATACATGATAATAATACCTGGAATGTTATTTATTATATTATTGGTTAAGAAACATGAATAATAATCATTAAAGCATTTAAATATTCCTGCTTTTGACATGCAGACAAAATGAAGCTTTTAAAACAACATACTTATTCATAAAATTGACCTTTTTCACATTTCATTGAAGGTTTGTTTCAAAGAAGATGAAGATCTGCTCTTCATAGCCCAGTGTAAGAAACAACATCTTAATGACAACCACAAAATATATGTTTAACAGCTCTCTTCTGCATTCACACATTTTTGTATTTTAATTACCAGCGTGTAATGTAATTACCATTTAAATATGGCTAAAAAATGATATTCCAGCTAAACTAAGAGAATCACTTTTCTCTGCACCTCTATTCATTTGTAATGATCTCTCTTCACCATTGTACCCTGTCTATACACTTGCTCTACGACACCCACAGGATGCTCTGGTCTGTAAGAGTCTTCAACACTTTCTGGAATTCTAATATCTGGGTGGGCACATTAACCTAATGTTGTGCAAGTGCTCACTCCTTACATGTGTTCCTCTTTCCTCTCCCACTCTCTGCTTTTACTCGACTTTCCAGATGGCTATCTTGCCGTCGCGTCGTGCGGAGCCGCTCAGGACGTAGCGGTCCTCAGCAGAGCAGAGCGTCTGGATGCTGTCTGAGTGGGCCTGCAGCTCCTTCGCCACAGTATGGCTCTCAGCGTCCATCACCAACACCTGACTTCTCAGTTGATCCTCACACTGACCCCCGATACCGCTCCAGGCACGACAGCCCACCCATATCTGAGGGGAGGAGCGGGCATAAAGGAAAGGGAGCAGGGAATAAATGATGGCAGAAGAAGGAAAAAAGATTAAAAGAGAAGAATCCACACCTCAGATCCAGACAAAAAAGTGTTAGTTAACATTTACCCTAAAAAATTACAACCACCACCTTTCCTGATAGGAGAATACTTTCCAATACGCATGTCTGTTATTCATTGACAGATATTTCACTTTAACATATTTGCACCAAACAAATGAATCACATTTAAGGTGATTCAATTAAACTTCCTCAAAAAGTGGGTCGGCGTTCTGTTTCCATGAACCAGAAAATAACAGGAAGTGTTCAACACACATTTCGTATACAAACAAGTTAGGACTCATATGTAACAGATTTTTTTGCCACATGAAGTGTTGTAGCCCACCTGGTCCTTGACTTGAATCATACAGGTGACTCCTGAACAGCCTGGCAGGGAGATTCTCTTGAATGGACGTCTGTGGTTGTTAGTGTGCCAGAGAATCAGCTCGCCTGAGTCTGAACAGCCCGTCCACAACTGACCTCGCTGGAACACACACAGAGAAACTAGGGAGGTCACACTTTGACTTTTAGAAATGTCAGACATTTTTAGAAATGTCAAACAGGGACAAAAAACCTTTTATCTGTGGCCAGCAATATTCTATGCATACTAACATCAAGCAGCAAGATACATTATTATATGGTTTTATTTTCATATTCAAGTGGTAAAAGGTTGTGGGTAAAAACCTTAATATCTTAGTTTCAGCTGACCCAACTACATTACAACACAATAGGGTCCAGTGCTTTATAAACTATGAACTGTTAAGTGCTGGCATGCATCATTGATTTGTTGTTGGCTGCTAATTTGCTTAACTGATGAACATTATTTCTGAGGACTGCCAAGTCACCTCTGGGATGAGGATGAAGCTGCTGAAGATACTGGGCATGCTCAGTAAGTCGTCAGGAAGTGCCATTCTTCTTTGTGGTGTCCCACTCTTTTTCAGTTCCACAATGCTGTCGTCACAACCTGTGAATACACGGACACACTTTCCACTTTTTTTCTTGAATGTCGCATTTCGAAAGCACAGGTATGCTCAGAGAGGGATGCAGGTGTTATAGTTGTCATGTAGTTTACACAATAGAATGAGTGTCACGGTTATATTAAAGAGGAACATTAAAAGCCACATAGAGCTAACAGGAATCATTCAGCCAATGTGGCTTTCAGTGGAGGCCGGGAAGTTAGTGTTCCTTGAGTTTGAGTTGAAAAAAGCAATAACAACTAATCAGAAAGAAAAAAGGGAAATGTGTGCACTCACAGCACCACAATGTGCCATCATAGATCTGTATGGAGGACAGACGGTCGCAGCTGACGTGTATCTGTCGCTTCACTTTGAGACTGGCTGAGTCCCACTGCAGGACCGTCCCATCACTGCTGCAGGAGTACATCTGAACATCTCTGTGGTCCACCGTCAGTCCAGTCACTTCATGTCTGTGCTCAGTCAGCTGTTTGTTGCAGGACATGCTGTGAGTGTCAATTATGTAGATCACAGAGTCCTGAGAGCCAATCCACACCTGCTCCTGGACCAATCCCAACATGCAGTTCTACATAGGAGAGGAAAACCGGAATCATTTCCCTTAACACACTAACAGACAGTATATTTAATGGATTATGATGTACAACTGTTTTAAAGCCACTTTTAGCAGAAAGAAGAACTAACTTGGCAGCCCCTAGTAAAACACAAAGAAAAGATTTGTGTTTCTAGAACAATCCAATCGCATGCATGCAGGAAAGTTGTATACATTGGTGGAGTAATCTTTTGAACTTAATTTATGTGACATTAAGTTCAAAAGATTACTCCACCAATGTATACAACTTTCCTACAAGTTGATATTCTACATAAAGTTGATGGAGTTTCTTTTAAAGAAATGTTGCTGCAATAGAGTACAGCTTGTGTGCTCTCACCAGCTGCGTCTCTCCGACCTGGATGCAGTCCTGCAGCATGGACCAGCTAGCTGCATCAAACACCACCACTCTGCCCCCACTGAGAGCCACCCACAGTTTGGGGTTCATCTCAGCCGCTGAGTCATTGCAAGTCAACTGACCTGGAGTAAGTGACAAAGTGTGAAAGAGCATGGGACAAGTGAATAGTGGAAGCCGAGTGCATGCAGTAAAAACATTGCAAAGCAGGGTGGATAAATGAGAACCCCCGTTTGTTTTTTCTTCCGTTCATTTTTTCAGTTGCAATCGCAATACATAGATAGAAAGGATAACAAATAGTGTGTTGACACTAACTAATTAAATGTTCTTATTGACAGGGACTTTGAAAGAAACAAAAACAGATCAATACACACTCTATATCCCAGTGTGAGTCACACACGTCTAAGACTTCTTAACATCTTGTTTGTTATCCTCTATAATGATTAGTACTCAGTTGGGGCCAGTAGCCTCCAGTTGTTTTTGTTCTCTGTCACAGTGAGACAAATGAGCGACTACAAGGTCGCTATTATCCTGCCTGCTAATACTCTCCACAACAAGACTAATCCGGTTATGCGGAGAGTTTTCACTGGAGCATCTGCTGCCTCACAAACATTTACACACATGTACAAGCACTGAACTCATTACCATTACACAGAAACTTCTTTGTTGCTCTCAACTTTAAAGGACATTTAAGATCATCGATAAGACGAAAGGGGAGACAAACAACTTTGAAAGTAAGACGCATACAATTAAGTCCTAATCATACAATCTGTAAATAGCTCCACATTTTACAAAGCCATGTTAGGGAAACTTCCATCTTATCTCTGCTCCCTGATCTCACGGAAAATTGTAAGCGGCTACTGCCTGAGATCGAATGCTGTGGTTTTATTAAATGTGCCAACTGCTAGGACTGTCTTAGGGAAGACAGCTTTTAGATGCGCAGCTCCTCTGTCTTGGAATAGTCTGCAAATTAAATGGAAACTGAGCAATCTGGTGCCACTAAATGTTTTTAAAGCTCGGTTGGATGCTACTCAATCGGAAGCTATAGGTACCTGTTTATGTGGATAATTATGTAAACGATGCTGTATGATGTCCTTTTGTTGTTCTATTTATGTTTTTATGTTTCATGTGGAACTACTTGAGCAGGTCTCCCTTGAAAAAGAGATCAATGATCTCAATGGGATTTATTTGTATAAATAAAGGTTTGAAATGAAATGAATAGTACCTGGTGTATAAAGCAGCACATGAACAGTCTGTGGTTCGGCCAGGTCCAGTGAGGGGTTGATCTTGTGTTTGAGGGTCTCTGAGGTAGTTTTAGGGACCATCATGGGCACTGGTCAGAGACAAACACAATTCATGAATGACAACGAAGGGTCGGTGGAAAGGATTATCGAAACATAATGTGAGAAAGAAACAAGATTTATAGCTAAAACTATTTGATGATTAATCAATCAAGTATAGCACCACAAATTATCTGGCAACTCTTTTAATATTCAATTATGTTTTAATAAGCAAAACTGCTAAACATGTTCTAGTACCAGATTCTAAATGGTGAGGACTTAATGCTCTACTTTGTATAAGATAGTAAGCAGAATATCTTTGAGCTTTGGTATGTGGCTTATAGGCAACGTTTTCCGCATTATCGTCTGCCATTTTAAAGACCATGTGTTTAATCAAATAAATTATTTAGAGTTTAAACCCAAATCTCTATACAAATACAATTTATATACTATTTATTTGTGTGTATAGAATCAAAATAAAACAGAAGCAGCAGCACAAGAGTGAGCCCAGACCTTCATATTTGATCTTATCGAAGTAGGCCAGCTTTGAGGCAGCAATAATGGACCTCGGTGTCTGCAGGCAGCCCATGACAGCGTCTATTAACAGGACATTGGTCAGAGCCTGAGTCATGTACTGAGGGTCCTGAGGAGAAAATAAAGAAATCATATGTTAAAATAATCTAGTAACAAGTAACTAAATCACTGCTGTAGTCGTCATATAATATATGTGATGTATGGTTTTGCATTATTTGTCAACCACATTTCTTTCGTGTATTTGACCTGTGAAACTGCACTGTTGGCTGATGCATACTTTTCTTGTTGGTTTTTAGAAGAATTCATTATGAAAGTGGTGTGCATCAACCTTTTTTGTACCTTGTGCTGGTCGGCCATCCTGCGTCCGGCCCACATCTCTTTCACCATGAGGTTCCAGAGTTCGGTCTCCGTCTTTAGATTGGCCTCAAACACCTCTAGCTTACCAGAGGTCTTAATACGGAGGGAAGGAATGCGAACAAGTAGAAACGGAGCTGATGAAATCTTCACATCCTGCAAAAAGATAGTGGGAGTCATTTATTTAAATACAATTGCAGGAAATTGAAATGAAAGTTCAACAGACAACATGATTTCAGAAAAGGCGGTTTAAAGACCCTTGACCTCTATGTCTCTGAACTTTGCTATTTCCAGGAATCCTAGTCGTCCCACAGACAGCAAGAAGAGACGTTTCTGAGTCATGGCAATTTTACCAACGCCATGGGAGGTCTTGATACACGACGACAACTTGTAGACACACTCGCTATTGTCAAGATGGTCTATGACCTCAGAGGGCAAGTCAACGTCTTGTGCCTGGCCCTCCATCTCCTTCCAGAAGTTGTAAAAGACTTTGAACAGATCCGGCTCCACCCGCTTTGGCTCGCCTGGGACACAAACACATACAATGTTGACACATTGAGGGGGGAAAAGGTGTGAAAATGCAAGCTGAAAATATGTACAAACAAATGAATTTAGTTCCAGATTTACAGTCAGAAATCTTAGAATAGTGCATATTATTGATCTTCATGTGTTACTAATGATTATCTGAATTCACAAAGTGTTTGTTCTTTAGCCGTGTAACAGAAAGGTCTGCTTTTGTTGTCTATCTAGCCATGCATGATGAGTTCAAAGACTTTGTGTGAAGGAGCTAATTGGTCCGTGGAGTATCATACTTTAAGCTAACAACTTTAAGTCGTAATCCTTTTCAACCACTGCCTGGTTTGGCCAAAAAAAGGTTATAGGAGTGGTGAACTAAAGTAGTAAAGTAGTGGATTGTTTAACCAAAACAATGGCCTGAAAGACTCTTAAATGTCTATAACGCTGAGGGCACCTACAGAGTCCGGTGGTAATTGTCCGTCACATTTTTAAAATTCATTTTAAGACATTTGTCATTTTCCTGACACTGATTACAAACAAGAGTTTAAAGTCTGATTAATAGGTAAACATACATTGACTTTATTTTTCTACAAAACATATATACAAATATTAATCTCCTTCACTTCAGTTGGACACTTGTTTTTGCGTTTATGTATGTGTGGCAGAACTTGTGTGTGTGTGTGTGTGTGTGTGTGTGTGTGTGTGTGTGTGTGTGTGTGTGTGTGTGTGTGTGTGTGTGTGTGTGTGTGTGTGTGTCAGACACTGCGGCACAAATTGTACTTCACGCTTACAAAGCATTAAATGAGTGCAAAAGATCATCTAACATCTGCTTGATTGAAGCGCTGTAATCGATTTATCGTCATGTGATGCTGGTGTAGAAAATAATAATTACTATATAATAACTTATGTGTCCACCATCCAAACAAACAAAATGCCTTCAAGGTTTACTGATTTTCCACTATGTATTTCGAATGACTTTGTTGCACTTCGCCTTAACTCACACTGCTTTGGGCGAAATACAGCATTTGTAAGTCTGAGGTTTGATATTTGAAATAGCTATACAATTCATTAAATGTCAATTATCAAAGGGGATGTCTTTACACACATCATGCTGCCTGTCCTCACTTACCATCACTGAGTGCATCAAATAATCGGTGTATAGTTGCTACATCTTTAACAATCCCGCACTCTTGAATGCAACGCACAAACTCCTCCAGATGCAGAGTTTGTAGGGGAAGCTTAAACTTCTTGACGTGTTCATCAGGCTGCACCAACAGCTTCTCACTGTCTGTCTTCACCTGATAGATGAGAGACAAAAGCATGTGCATCTTCACTACTTTATGACCACCCAAGGAAAAGTAGCAAACATATTGCCAAGCGATTTCACAAGATGGGAATAATGTGATCTAATGTAATGTGTTTGAAATTGACCTTAAGGATTAGTCTCTTGAGTTCAGGCCGCCTGTCAGCTTGCTGCCTCTCGTCTCGGTGCAGCGAGTCCACAAGCCATGTGACCAGCTGTGTGGGGAAGATGGCGGTGTCTGTCCTGTAGAGGTTCTGGAAATCACCCAGAGCCTCCAGCCGCCGCCCGTACAGCGTGTTAATGAAACCACGCAGGTAGTAGAATCTGCAGAGGGAGAAGTGATGTAATAAATCCTCAATTCTTTGGAGAAATACCAAACATTTTGTGGAAGAAGAGCAAGAACTGAGAGTAAAATCAACAAGAAATGCAGATAGACGAACAGTGTAATATGGTAACACTTGATTGTACGAATTAAAATGGTGATGACAGTGTTGGAGCCTAAGGAATAATAAAATACCTTGCCAGCAGGGAAGAGTTCTCATTTTGTACAGAGAAGATGGCTTTGCCAAGCTGCTGGATCAGCTCACTGTAATAAACTTGGACAGAGTGGAAGGACAGAGAGGCTGGGAAATCTGGGAGCTTAAACACCTTTGTTGGTTTAGGAGGAGTTCTCAGCACTATGACAAAGAGGGTGGAAAACAGAGAAGCGTTTAGTCTCTGCTTTAATTTGAAAAGTTTGTGCGTCTGCTGCAGTCTCACCTGCGTCAGGGATGCTGATCCTGCTCAGTAGTGAGTTTCTTTGAAAGCTGAATGTTTGGTCGTCTCCCAGGTTAGGGAGGCTCATCCCCAGTCTCTTACTCAGCTTACTCCCTGCAATAGAACTTCTTCTACGGGCTTGAACCTCCTGCATGGTGGGTCTGCGTGGCGCCTCAACCATAGCTTTCACCCTAGAGCAGAATTAATAATGTTTAAGATTGTTGAAACGGTTTATAAGATGCGTTGATTTCTCATTTTTCCAAGGCTGTAGGTCATGGAGCACTGCACACAGATGAAGTGGGTTCAATGACTTACCGCTGCATCTCAGAACGAGTGATGAGTTCCATTCGAGCAAAGTTGTCAATTTTCCTGTTGAGACGATCCTTAAGGAAGGAATGGAAGATGTATGTATCCAACACCTGCAACACAGACACATTGATTTAAAGCACCTGGCCCAACACAGCATTTTGCTAAGAGATGTCAGATGATTTGTCAACCATAAAGAATGTCACTTGTTTTACCAAGTTTGTGTTTACCGTTTTGTAAAACAGCTGTTCAGCTGGCTCTCTAGTTTTCAGGAACTCTTGACTGTTAAACACTCGATGTTCATAGTTCAGATGACCGCTAACATCCCTGTTATTTAGAAACATGTATTTATCAACATAAAAGATATGTTTGGGTTAACCATCCTGTTAGATCTCAGTACACAAACACACAAAGAACCTGAATATGTTGACCATCAGTTCCAGTGCGATCCTCTGGATGTCGTGGTTGAGGTTGTGTTGCCACGCTCTCCTCCGAGCGCGCTGCTCACTGATGTCAGAACAGCTTGCATGGTTGCACTGATGCAGGTCAAAATGTATCTGCAGGGCCTGACACCTGCAAAAACAAACTCATACTATAAACCAATAGAAACACTTTCATATCTCTGGCCAAGTTTGATACAAATATCAATACGTTTAAATCACCTGTAGCATCATAATTCACTTTTTGTTTGTACTTGTGTATACTAAATGAGCAGTAGTTGAGCTACAAGTTTATCACTGGCGCTACAGTAGTACCTCTGTGTGAAGCAGTCTGCAGCGGCCGGGGGAATCTCCGGGAGGTCCAGAGTCTCAGAACAAGAAGTGGAGACACTGCCGTTGTCAATGTTGATTAGGATCAGATGATCTGTTTCCTTGATGGGGGAAGGAGAAGAATAAAGTCAATATTTTCCTCATTTTGTTTGTCCATCAATTAATAAACTTATAAGCAATATTTAAACATACGGTTTTTCTGCCATCTAGGAATATTTTGTCAACAACAGATAATAGTCAAACATAATGCAAAGCACTTACCTAAGCAGTGACTTGAACTGTATTAAACCTGCTGTAGATTAACTTCCTAATTGTACAACTATTTATATAAATAAGCTGTTTTGAATCTGAAGCAGAGATATATTTGCTCTTGGATATGTGCAGGCTATCAGCAGGTTTAATGTACATTCAGCACACGGCATTCCCCTTATTCTATTAATTTTCTACTGCCTTTGATGACACACATTGTCCTGTTTTGAAAGCTGTAGGTAATTTCGGGGTGTTGTGTACTCACAGCAGCAACCTCTTCGAAGTGGCTGAGGTGGCAGCCCATAAGGAAGGCAGTAGGAGCCATGAGGAAGTCCAGCATGCCTCTGGCCAGGACAGGAACGTATGGCTGCTGCCACAACAGAGGCTGGAAGCAAGGCATAGATGGACACATCACAGGATTAAATGATGGAGTTCTAATTTAATTTCAAAGTTTTATTGTCATATGCACATAAACTACAGTGTAGAAATGGCAATGAAAATCTTATTGTACATTAAGATGAAATTAAATACGGTTAAGGATGACCTGCTTAATCAAATATTGACAGGAAGTCAATAATGTAAGGTTTCTAACTGCAGCCCTGACCTATTACTCATTTAATCCACCAGCCACATATAACTGTGATTTTAAGACATGAGCCTTTAAGACATTTTGAATACATTATATATGATTCATGAGTTAAACTCAATAACAATCTAGATCAGGGGTGGGGAACCTCCGGCCTACGGGCCGTATACGGCCCGCGAGACCATTTGATACGGCCCTCGAGGTAATTTATAAATACACGCAAAAAAGAAAGAAATTAAAGAAATCTAGACCGCAAAATAATTAAACAAGCGAGTGCCTGTTTTTCCTTGCTAAAGTCAGGGTCATTGAACGTCATCACGTGGGCTGCTCCGGCACTTCAGATAAGGAGCCGTACACATGCCGCAGTTTTTGCGTGGCTGTGTCTTTAGTTGAAAGCCCAGTGGCGATCTGTTCATCTGTCATACAGTCAATATCTTTGTTGTTATTGGCATCTGGTTAGCTAGCTATGCTAACGAATATAAGAAGCTTTTTCTACAACCAGTGAGGTAAAGGCACATCTTTATATGATCATTATAGTTATAAAAAAATAAGAGAATAAAGTAAACGGGTATAAAATACTATATGACAGTAAAAAAAAGTTGTTATTAATAAACAAGAATACAATTTGAAAGGGGAGTGATTTGTAAAATATCCATAAAGAAAAATAAAATATGCTTCCAGTTCTGTTTCATATGGGTGTTGAGAGATGGATCCATAGATCTCTTCATGTTGCTCTCAAAGTGCACCAGATTGATGCTTTTAACTTCAACATTTAAAAAAAAATCTTCCCAGGGGAGCATGCTCACGGACCCCGCTAGAGGAAGTTAGGTCCCCCCCCCCCTTAAATCATGTTCACATGGTTAGGACTCTAAATACATTACATTACATGTCATTTGTTAGACGCTTTTATCCAAAGCGACTTACTTATTCAGTACTGTGGACAATCCCCACAGGAGCAATTTGGGGTGAAGTGTCTTGCCCAGGGACACAACAACATGCTGACTGCAGTGGGACTCAAACTTACCCTGATTCCAAGTCCTTTGCATTGAATTTGCACACGTGTGTCCATATCTTTCTGTTTTGGTGGTCACGCCACAACTGTGCACGTGCATGCATGCGTGAGTCATGGTAAGATATCTGGATTAAGAGGTTGCTTTTTCTTTGCACAGCATGAAAGAAAGGCCAAATGAATGGGCTGTGATTTTAGTTTTTTTAAGCAGAGGTCAATCATTTGGATGTTGAACAAATTGAAATGGCCCTTGAGAGGAAAAAGGTTCCCCACCCCTGATCTAGATCATAAGTAATTTCAGTGCGCCCTAGCAGATATGTAAAAACAGATTTTCATCTGACCTGTAGGAAAAGCAAGAAGCTCTCTGCCACCAGCGTGAGTCTTGCCCAATCAGCAGAAAATAACACCACCCGCTGCTCCTGCAGGAGACAAGAGAGCACCTGCAGAGACGGGGCAGAAAAACCAACAAACAGAGAACGAGACAGAGCTAATGTGAGCTTCCTCTTGGTTCAGTAACATTAACACAACAGGTGTTTGTAGTTCTGTACCTGTAGCAGTTGCTGTGGCCTGAAGCAGAAGAAAGGCAGATGGAGGTCTAAATCTATAGCTGGGTGGTCTTTGTTTTCTCTGGATGGTAATACAATGGTCAAAGGACGCAAGGTAAACATCTGCAAAACATACACAGTGTTTTAGTTTGTGTTTTTCTGTCTGGCTGAATTAGCCATTCGCTGAAAACAAATAATGAACGTATGCTACAACTGACACTATAGTAATCGATTATATCAGAAATATGAACCTGTAAACTCCTGGATCATTATATTATGAAAGTAAACGTTTACAGGACCACAGTACTTAACTAAATATAACACACATACATATACACACCAAATGTAGTTGTCCAGGAGGGGGAATGGGCACCAGGGAAAGTTTGGCTGCAAACTCCTTCACTCTCTCCTCCATGTCAGATAAACGACAAGTTCTCAGCTGGATTAACAGACTAACATAAAGCAAAGGACAAACAGATATTAGCATACGTTTTGTATTGTAAAGCTAAACCCATTTAATTCACGCAACATCTGTGAATACTTTTTTTGTTTCTGTTTATTACGATCTTTATGTTCAATGTTACTTGCTGGGAATCCAAATCCCTAAGTGCTTTACCTCATTGACAAATAAGCTAACTACATTGTTTTACTGACAGTTTACTGAGTAAAGAGTGCTTTAAATAAACCAAAGTTAATATTGAGGTAGAATTTGCCAAGCCGTATCTCACCATGACAGACAGTCTTTGATTGCAGTAAAGTAAGGATATTTGGATATGATACAGATGCCGTAGGCAGAGAAAAGTTTAGAAAACTTAGAGGACCCAGCTCCGTTCTGGAAGATAGACGTCCCTTCCTGGAAAAACACGAAAGAGAAGGAACAGTCAATTGCTTTCAGTTCAGTTGAATATACCTGCTCTATGTTGGCAAGCTGTTATGTGACACATGCTCATTGTGTAAATTGCCAACGTTTACTGTAGGTTAACTGCTATGTGTGAAGTATTTCGGGGAGTATTTCATGTTGTACAGCGTACCAGTATTGGTCGGTAACAGTGCATTACTACTCCATGGGTCTTGTTGCCAAAGACATCAGTGAAAACCAGGAAGTGGAATTGTTCGTCTTTCTGCTCATTAGTTACTTGGAGCCCACCTGGAAACAGGAACAAAGTATCCTACTTGTTAATACACAGGCATGATATACTACACTTACAAATGATCCCTTTTGTGCTACTATCAACATGCATGCAAATTCAAATATCTCTTTTTTTAAACAAATGTGTGCGAGCGTGTGAATATGATATATTAAGACAATACCCGGGAAGCAGAGTTGGGGTAAAGCCATGAGGTCGATGTCTTTCGGTACACTGACATCCTCACTCTCTCCTATGCCACTTGCTAAAATAAAACAAAACAAAATTACACAAATCACCAATTATTACATGGATAAAGTGAAGCCAGGGAGAAATCATCCAACCTAGTTCAAACACTAAGACCTGTTGAACAGTATGGCTCAGTGTGGATAGAAGTACCAGACCTTGGCTGGGGGTCGCTGCAGCTGAAGGATGTTCCCTCTTCTTCCTGAGAAAGGACCGCCGCCTCGTCCCTTGTGACCTCAACGCATCACTCTCATCTTGCGGTCTGCAAACGAAGGGAGGCGCCAGGACATGCAGAACCTCGGGCTCCAACAGGAGGAGGTCTGGGGCTTCATTATTGTCAACGGCCTGAGTGGGAGACAGAAAGGAAAGTATTTGGAGGGGCTCTATTCTTTTTATAGCTTACTCTGACATATGTTACATTACCCATATTCTATGTATGTAGATATTTTAATAGAAGAAAGAAGGAAAACATTCAAAATGCTGATCAAGCTGATTTTTTTTCTTCTCCATATATATCAACAGTTTAGGTAAAAATGTGGATGAAGCTACTTTACATTTCTATGCGGATGATACCGTGCTGTACTGTGCAGGTCCCTCCATTAAGGAGGCTGGTGTTAAATTACAGGCTGTTTTTAACATTATTCAGACTCAGCTCTCTGAGCTTAAGCTTCTTTTAAATGTTGAGAAAACCAAGGTAATGCTCTTTTCTAAAGCTAAAAAGACACCAGAGCCAGTTTTAGATATTGTAACTGCGCAAGGACAAGTACTTGAAGTGGTTACCTGTTACAAATACCTGGGTATCTGGTTTGATGATTGTCTTACTTTTAAACTTCATGTCAATAACCTGCTTAAAAAGCTGAGGGTTAGACTAGGTTTCTTCTTCAGAAACAAGTCCTGGTTCTCGCTTGAGGCCAGGAAAAGGCTGTCACTGTGACCTTTTTACCTGTGCTGGACTATGGTGATTTGGTCTATATGAATGCACCTGCCTATTACCTGAACAAGTTAGATGCTGCCTATCACAGCGCACTGAGATTTGTCACAAATTGTAAAGCACTTACTCATCACTGTACCCTGTATACCAAGGCAGGTTTGCCATCACTTACTGTAAAGAGGCTCAGTCATTGGTACACGTTTATTTATGCTTTGTTGGGTAAACTCCCGTATTATATCTGCTCTCTGATAACACAGAGAGTTGCAAGCAGCTATTGTCTGAGATCGCATGATGTAGTATTGTTAGATGTGCCAAGAGCAAGGACTGTCTTAGGTAAGACAGCTTTTATGTGCGCAGCTCCACTTGCTTGGAACAATCTACAGCTACAATTTAAACTGAGCAATCTCATTCCTCTGCATGTTTTTAAAGCAAGTCTAAATGAAATGCTCATTGAAACTATGGGTATTTGTAAATGTTGATAAGTATGTAAATGTAGCTTGTAAATATGTTGTGTGATATCCTCTATTGTTTTATGTTTCATGTGGAACCTAATTGCTGCAGGTCTCCTTTGAAAAAGAGATCTATGACCTCAAGGGACAATCTGGTTAAATAAAGGTTTGAAATGAAATGAATTGATAACATAATTGGAAAAGGTGGTATGGCTTTATAGCATTATTAGCATTAGGGCATTATTCATGCTCTTTTTTGTTCTCTGGACCAATGAGTAATGTTGCCTTGACAATAGTCTTTCTTGGTTAGCCTAAAATAACAAAGACAATTGTTATATGTGTATCCTCTAATAATAATTAGCTTATTACTTAGGCACATTTTGTCTTTATAGATGTGGACAGTCAAGATACAGACAGCACACTTGGAAACACCAGTTAAACATTCCTGTTGTTGTTGTTGTTGTTGTTGTTGCAGTCATTTTGTTTCATAAGAGTAAGGGTTATTAACCATTCTCATAAAAAAAAAAAAAAATTTTCATGTAAAATCTTCAAAAGAACAAATTAGAGTTCTCATGACCAATTTCTTAGTTAACAGTACATCGCTCCCACTTATGGCCGGTGTGTTTTAGAGGCAGATACCTGATAGAGCTCACTGAGTTTGTCACTAGAGGCTCCTAACACCACACAGGCCTCCAGCAGAGCAGGAGGAAGATGGTCGGCCATAACTGACACCAACCCAGGATCGAGATGGACCAACAAAACCAGACCAAGGTGCCAAATCAGACCTGAGGGATCGCAACCACTGAACGTTTAAAGAAAGAAACAGAGGATCAGTCATAGAAGCAGACAAAGAAAATGCATTCAAGATGACAGAAAAGATTGTGTGTTAAAAAGGCAGAGAGTTGTCGCAGCTCTCTCATCTTCATCGTTCTGCATGAAAACATTTACCAGATACATAAAGTCACAACACATGACACATTAGTGCTTGTTCCAGCTCGTTTTCACCGCAGATGTACTCATCAACAACAACACAGTGCGACATTTCAGGCAGAGCCAGTCAGAGAAAACCTTTATTTCCTTAGTCAAGATATTTAACGGTTTGGCTCAGCAGCAAATACCCCCCAACGGGTACAGAACAGAGCGGCGTCAATGACAACAGAAATGGTATTGACTAGTTAGACAGAGCATGGAGACAAGGATGTAGGGGAAAGAGGGGAACAAGTGGGTTGAAGAGGCAGAAATCAAGGTGGGATATAGGCAAGATAATGTCTTTAAATGTCTGTTATTTTCAAGACAAAATCTAAATATATTCACTTTAATGTGATATAACACACTTTAGTCTTGAAATACAAGATGATACTTTTCAGGAAGCTCTCAAACACCAGAACATGCTCCAGGGTGGCATTACACTTTTAGTACTCTTGCCATATTCTAAAAACCTGTAACAACCTGCAATTTGAATGTACTGTTTAAACTCTACAAATCAGTCTTCAGAGGGGATCGCCCAACTCCTCCTTTGCCTTTCTTTCCTTCCATTTCTACCACACTCATGCTCACTTCTCATCAATCAATTGGTTTTGAAATGTGCAATATATAACAAAGAGAATAGCAGGAAACTCCATATTTAAAGAAAACTGAATGAAAAAGTGACCTTTATACAATTGTTGCCAGGATACTTTCAGCGGGACCCTTTTAGTTTGTGGCCCCAGCGGCCCTCATGACGTTCCTCTTTATCTATATGACAAATCAGGAACATAATAGAATGAGTTGGGCTGATGAAAGCTCTTTGGGGAGAACAGGAAACCGGGTGTCACTCACAATTGAATTAGCTTTTTCACTGCAGATTCACATCATGTGATAAAGACGCATCATCCTATATCCCATGTATGGAGTATTTCTTTCCCAATTTTGGTATACTGCTTTTTAGGGTTATTTTAAATCAATGTTCCCTGTTTGTTAGTATCATCTGGAAATCTTGGAAAATGTGGCTCATCTGTGCAATGTGCACGTGATAACATGCACAAAAGAAGAAACATATAGGAAAAACCCATGCAAATTTGATGGAGGCAAACTTGTAGTGAGGTTAAAAAAATAAAAGGCACTTTTTTGGCTAAAACTGAACTGCACAAAATAACCTCAAGTGCTCTCTTTAGGAAATACATTATTCCTAACTATGATTTGTTTACATGTATTGTTTTTATACTTATTTTACTTTGAAATCATACTGAAAAATGGTTCACTGTTGAAACAGAAGTGTTTACTCATTCAAAATGAAAACTTCAGCAGCATGAATGTTCAGCATTACTGAACTGAAATAAACCCGATGCCTCAGTCCAAGGATCTGATGTGATTATCATTATATGCAGCACATTACAATCATATGAGCCTTGACCGGCTGGACACATTCCACATCAAACCATAAAAACATTAGAAAAGTGTTACATATTCTGACATAATGACACACGTCTATATCCTCCATCCTTGAGGTGGTAAAGCTTGCAATGGGACTGATTTACTGCATAATCCAAATCACATGTGCCCTTAAACACAGGAAACTAGTGTGAAGTATTTACACAAAGCAGATGAGAAGAACAAGCTGGCAAACAGAGACATGAACTAAAAATATATATCCGACCTTCACAGTAAATTAGATTAAAATAACTGCAAAACAATTGCCTCTTACACATCACTATGATCTTAAAATAAAGTTAATGGGACAGGGTATGTATCCAGTTGTAAAGTATAAAAAAAAGTCTACTTTTTAGCCAAATAATCTCGAATAAAGCAGCATGACATCCTTTCAAAAATCATTATGTACGTAAACACAGTCTATGGCCATACTACAGTCTGCAGCTAATGTGAGGAACACCTGTAGAGGAAACACCAACTGCCTGATACAGTTGTTACAATAGGGCAGAGTTAAAAATACATCACTGGCACACATCAAAACAAAAACATCATTGTATTATACATTATTAACATGACAAAATGTACACTTTCAATCACATTTCTGCACATGCCTCCATACTAACATGTCTATACAGGATAACAGTGAAGCACATTATGTTGAATCAAGCTAAGTTTTACTCGTAAAGTTTAGCTATCTCTTTTTTTTTATTGCAGCTGTGACACGTGACACTGAGTTACAAGCTGCACAGGTGAGAGGATGCTTTACGTTTTTCTCTGAGCTTTAAACACGGCTAAAGTAACGTGTTATAAATGTCAAGTTAGACTTTCTAGACACTCACCTCCTCAAAAGGAACCGTGCGCTTCCTCATTCATCTCTCTTCCCTTTCAGGACAGCAGTGCGGAGATAAACTCACTCCAGCTGCGCAGCCAACTCCTCGCGACTGAATGGCACGAGCTCATCCCGGCTCCCGTTTTACCCTTTACTCACTCCGCTTCCTGTTTCTCTGTGACTACAAACATGCGCATTGATATGAGGAAGCAACATGCAGTATCATATGAAGTATAAGTTACAGAACAGAAACGTCCAGCCTCCAAGATATTCTGCATTTCAGATATAGTGTACCATAACTAGGTTCTAATTTGAAACCCTTTGAAAACTGAATTGACTTGAACATGATAATGATAATAGACATTAACAGCTGTAATTCCATCATTTAAACACAACATGGCCTCGGACAAATAATACAATTGTATTTCTTTATGGATTGATCCTATTGTAATAACACACACTGCCCTGAAGATGGTGGTGGTTGACTAATACAGCTTGAGATACAGTCAGCCGGGAAGTACTGTATCTGCAAAGTATACAGTAGGCGACCTTATTCAGTGAAATTTAAAAAAAGAAGCCACAACAGGTAAAATACAATCCCCAATCATTTTACAAATATGTGAAACAAATATGATTTTCACATTATGGATCAAATATTAATCATCAAATCACATTCAGAATCAGTTTGCAGAAAGGGATTATTTTTATTGTATTGAGGAATGGTTTTTATTAGATTAACCTCACTGATGAACTCTGTTGAAACACGCTTTGTGAATTGTATCTTGAATTTGTGACAAATGAAGTAGGTTTATTTTTAGCGGTTTTGAAGATTATACATTTTTGTGTCTGGTGAGCTGTAAGAACATTTAGCTGACTTAAGATAAGAGATCAAATATAAAAGTATTCTGTTTTCTGTCCAAAGGATACATTTTGTCCCTGGTCAAAATATTATCCTGAGACATTACCAAACCCTTCTAATACTAAGTCTCTCTGTCTGTTAAGGGTAAGAGGCACCATAACAGATGTTTAACTATTCCTTTAACTTGTAAATTCTATTATTGCGCCCAACTTATATCAATAATTATTTTTTCTTTGGTTAATTGCATTGAAGGGAGGTTATTTTATCTCCATTATGACTTTTGCAAACATTAGTGAAAGAATGAAAAGAAGAAATGAAGACGACATGCAGAAAAAGAGACACAAGTGAAGGTGCATTCATTCTTTTTTTTACCAATACCAAAACAATTGGTACAAAAATGTCTTGTTTACAAAGTACAAAAGTTTGTGCAGCAGCAAAATTATTAAAAGATCCCTTTAAAATCACACAAGGGATTGACTTTCAAACCAAAACATAAAATAGTATTAGCATCCCAAACATCTTAACATTTGTATAAAACCAAAACGATTTCAATAAGTCAGGGGCCTGTTTCTAGAAGCACTTAAAATGAAGTGTTTTCCTAAAAAGCTTCTTGCTGAGATAGAAAGATCTTTGAAACATTTAGACCAGCTAAAGCTAAATGAGTTTGAACTAAGTAAGTGTTAAAGGAATAAAAGCTGTAGTGCACTTGTCTTTCTGGTTGTCCTCTAAAACGTTTCATTTGGTCACCACATCCCAGTCAGGGAAATTTCAAGTTTGCATAGATCAGTCGGTGGCCTTGCATAGAAGTCGTCAATATGTAGCGCATGTTTTAGAGTAGACGATATAGCTTAAAACCTCCCTAAATAAATAAATATTGTTCTTATAAGTAGACTTAAGGCTGAGCAAGACATGTATACTAACTGGCAAAGTTTACTGAAGATGCTGAAAAAAACTGTTGAATTAAGGTTGAACATCTGTAGATTATGACACTATGCACACTGCACTCAGTTTGTGACACTGAGAATGGAGACTATGCTAACCATTATCTTGCATTCTGCTAAATGTTAACAATAATCCTTTACAGACCATCTCTGTTTTCAAACATGTTAGTTATTCTAAAGGAAACTGAATCCTGGCAGTATGGCAGCTATTCATCTTGATATTTGACCACTGTGTACATCAGGTCAGGTCAAATGATAGGTTTGGCACTCTAACTAATGGATGTTACATACTGTATATGTACCCTGATGATGGTGTTTCTCCTTTCAACTGTATTTGGAATGTATATTACAATTTGTTGTTGTTGATATAATTCAAGAAAAAGCAAAACAAATGCCACCTCTAAAACAAATCCCAGTGAAACCCAAAAGAAAGTTAGAATCCATGTTACACTATTGGTCAAAAATGCAATGCAAAATGTATTGTGATAGACTTTGCATTGCTTTTGTTGTTCATTGCACTCAACAGTAGAGCAAAACATACATTGACGGCTGCTGGCTTAATTCTTACTACAAATTATGAAAAACAAAGTGTTGTGTTTCATGGCATAGTCGTATCGCATTAAGAAAGAAACATCATAAAAGGTCACTTAAATGAATACAAAAAGTGAATAGAAAAAAGGGTTTTGGGTCTTGAACAAATGTAAAAGGCTTTGAATGTTGTTTTGAAACTTTCTGGCAATTTCCTAAATAACAAAATAATAACCCTATCTTCCATCAAAGGTATTCCCTTAACAGACTGGAACATATATGAACACCTGTATTCAGTCTACATGTAATGCACACACACTTTCACAGCACTATGATTGTCCATTAAGCCTCTGTGAAATAAAATATCACAAATCCCGTCATTCTGCAGCATCAGTTTGACAATAGTGTTCTGAAGTGAGATAGAAAGTGCTTTGCGTGCTTCCCATTTGTGTTTTCGCAATAAAAGGCTTACATTTGTTTCACTAGTCTGAGCTAAGTTAGTTTGAACAGTCTCACCAATTCACTAATGGCTCACTTCTATCTATCTAGCCATCCAAACTTGTATTTGTTTTAAGGAGGAGGTAGCAATAAGACAGGCATAGCAGCCCAACACTGAGATTGTTTCTTTTGGTCAGTCCTCTACTCAAAAAAAGATTCTCCATTCAAAACCACCCAGCCTACATTTCTGTAGATGAGAATACACGGTCTGCCATGTTTTCTCTCTTTTCAATATACTCCCTCCATCAGAAAGGCACAGACATTTGGTATAATCCTCACATAGTGGAGCCTGACATGTTAATGCTCAGGCAACTGTGTCCTTCTCAGTGTTTTTCAAACTTGCCCCATCTGTGAGGCTCAGCAGAGCCAACCTCTGGTCACCGTTCCTTTTTCCATTTTCTTCTGGCTCTCCAGGTAAACCCACCAAGGCCTGGTTGGTCTCTGAGCTGCTCGGCTCTAAATCAGGATAAATGACCAGGAAACAGGCAGTGAGGAAGCCGAGGAAGGCGCCCCCGGAGGCAACTGCAGGAATGACACGCACACTCCCAACTGCATCTACCACAGCGCCGAGGGCCGATGCAACCAAGATCTGGCTGACATAGACCTAGAAAAGAAACAAGATAGAATGACACAACAGAAAAGTACACACTGTGAGGACATTCATACTTTCCATTGCTTCTTATCAACAGCAAAAAAACCTGAATATGAGGCAAAGTTAGAAAAGAAACATCCAATTATTTAAGCTCACAGCCCTAAACATGACGTATCCGAATCAAAGTCCATTTATCACTAGGTCGTCGTTAGTTGATGCTTATTTCAATATCACAATCTAATTTGGCTGGACACGACTGGATCAGTTTAAGTTCAGAGCTGAAGGGGGAAAGAGTATAAATGCTCACCTGGCAGGACAAGATAGCGCAGTCAATCCCAAAACCTCTTCTTGTGTTTGCTGGGCTGTGGTGAATGTACTGAGGAGAGGGACAAAGCAGAAACTACCATTAACCGTACTGTAGATTGTCAGCGTCTAGGTTTAAAAAGTACTATAATGTTGAGTACGTTTACAGAAAGGGCAAACACATGACATTTTTTTTAACACACCTTAATCTAAAAAGTAATGAGATACAGAACAAAAACTACATCAACTGACGATGCTGTAGGATTCAAACACTTAGTGACTGAGCTAGCTTTAATGTTTACACATTTCAAAGCTTTGAAAACTGCAAATACTTTAGTGATGTTCCAAGGTTAAATTAAACAAATAAAAACATAAAATCTTAAATATTTTTGTTTGTAAGTGTGTTCAGTTCTCTCATGTATTCTTTTGTATCTCCAGGTTCTGACAGCGTGCGTGGATATTTGAGTTTATTGTCCGTACCTCTTTGATCTCATGGTACTGCCCGAGTAATGCGTAGGGGCAGTAGGAGATACTCATGGAGATGATGCCCATGCTACTGATCATCACCATGGCAACATAAACATTAGGGAAGATCGCCATGACAGCCGTTCCTAAGTTCGGAAAGATGAAATCTGTTTAAATTACATTTCCTTTTATTCTGCATACCCATTAAGACAACTGGTCCATAACCAACTTCACAACATTATAGTCAGCTGTTTATTCTCTTGTGGAAATGTACCTATTGAGAATCCAAGAGTTCCAACAATGTAGATAATCTTAATGCTCAGATCAAAGTTATCCAGGTACTTCTGAAGGATTGCTGAGTGGAGAGATGACAAGAAAATATAAATGAATGAAGACAGCGTGGGTAAGTTGGATAGAAAATGGAGGGGAAACGTTTATTCATATTTACTATTTGTAAATACAGCAATTATGAGATTTAAATGTAGGTTTAGGTTATACCAGAGCAGACAGCAGCAGTAGCAGCGTAGACCACCAGCCCCCAGCAGCCCATCTGTACTCCTCTGTGATAGTTGAGTAGCTCTGTGGAATTGGATGGTGCCTGAAAAAAGTTGGATCATTTTAGCATCATAGACTGGGTAAGTTAACTGACATTGTAGTGTTTGATTGGCATACATGAATAATGTGACATGCAATCGGTTAGCACAAGTGTCTTGAACAATACGATGTGAGTGTGTGTGTGTGTGTGTGTGTGTGTGTGTGTGTGTGTGTGTGTGTGTGGTGTGTGTGTGTGTGTGTGTGTGTGTGTGTGTGTGTGTGTACCGTTGGGTCTCCATGGTAGATGACTTGCCCCATGAAATCAGTGTAAAACACAGCTTCAGCGATAATGGAGAACCATGTGAGGAGGTGACACACACACAATGTCCACAGCTGCCTCGGCATCTACGGAGAACAAAAAAGAAACAAGAACTCAAGACTAGCAGGGGAAACATGAAGGATGAATTTCACAAAAATGTGTTTGAATAATTAATTTGCAACTGCAAACCTATTAAGGTTGTGAATGTGATGCAGTGCAATAGTAAAATAGGGGAAGGTCAAAAATACATAAATATGAAGGACACTTCTTAATTACTTCACCTTGAACATGGATAACCAGAGCAGCCGAACAGTTGTGCCCTTGTCTGGTCCTCCCTCAGAGCTGGAGCCCTCAG